ATTTAATTTATAAATTCGAAATTTAAATTTCCTCTTCAAATTTTTATTATTGTTCGTTGATTATTCATTAATTGATTAAAAAATTCTTTATAAAAATTTATTTTCGTGGAATAAATAAATTTTTTTTTCATAATGTATCAGTTTATATCTGTATCTCATTGACATTGAAAAAGTTAATATGAATTTTTTCAACTTTAGAAGAAATAAAAATGAGAAATGATCATTACAGTATTAAATCTTCTAAACAATATATATAATCTATTATAATTCTTCTTCATAATTTTTCAATATTTAGGTATTGAATAAACAATTATTACTTTTAATGATTTTGATAACAAGTATCGGCTTGATTATTGGAAAATATATTTGTTACAACGGTTACTCTTGCTGATCCTAACTAATCTCATTGTGTAAAGCCGCATAAATTATTATTCCAGGTGAGTGTTTTTAGTAAACATGGAAATTTGGTTGTAGTGCAGGTAATTTTCATAATTTTTAAATATTGAATAAACAGTTAATACCTTTTAACGATGCCGTAATAATGATTATTAACTTTATTATCGGGAAATTATATATTACCACAATTATCGCGCCATAGATCCTAAATAAATAATCTTATTGTAATAAAGCTGTGGAGTATTATTCCAGATGAATGCCTTTAGTAAACAGGGCAGTTTGGTTTGCTTGGTAGCTACATAGTGTGTTCTCTAGATTCAATTAAGTTGTGATTAATTCACCAACAAAAGCGATACGGGTTATATCTAGTTTAATCCTTTTATACTTCGATCTTTATAACAAGTTTTGTTATTATGAGCAACGCTAGCATATCAAGTAAATTGTTTCTTCTTTTATCTCGTTATTTCGAGCTGCATTATGTACCAAATTTAGTATCAATTCGGACAGATTAACACCTCCGTGTTAATAATAATTCAGTCGTATATAGAAAATTATATTAATTGCTTTGTTATTGTTGTTATTATTACTTATTTATATTATTTACACTATGTATATTTTTCATTTATATTTTTTATTCGATAGAATCGACCGAAATAATTGCGTTATATAATGGCATATACATATAGTACTAGCATATTTTCCACTAATTAAATGCAACAATACAAAATTTTTTAAAATAATAATTACTTTTAGTCAATATGATTAGTACAAAAGATTTTGATTATTTTATTAATAACTGAAGTAGTAAAAGAGAATTACAGAATTATTAAATAATATTTATTTACTATACATACGCGAAATTTTTCACTGTTTTAATATCTAAATGATTTTGAGATTTATTATCTTTTTTTTTTTTTTTTATTAAAAATAAGGAGTTTTTGCAATACCATTGTGTATCCAGATACAATATACATTAAAGTCACGTTATTTGGACATGATACTGCAAAAACTCCCTCATAATACTCGTATCTCTATTACTGTTATTTGCCGCGCGTATGTTTGTCCGGATTAATTTGTAAGTGATTAGGATTTTCAGATGTTGCGTTTAATCGCTCTTGCTGTGTCGAACATTCGATACTAATTAATTAGCCACTGTCACTTACCATTAGTGCGTTCGTCATTTACAAACCTATCTCACCCTACTATCCAATCCCACGTTTCAAATTAGTTTCATGAGTGAACGAATTTTTAATCAAATCAGCAGATTAATTTTAAACGATATTCGGGGATAGTTATTTTATCTATTTCATCTCGCGGAGTAGTGACAATGTTAAAATAAAGTTCTTTATACAATGTGTCTTTCTAAAAAATTATTGCTTTTATTTTATGAAACTTGATTTGAAAATAATGTTGTGAATAAGATTACGTTTTAATGAACGTAAAGAAGAGGATGTTGAAATGTGTGTATAATGTATTCGTGATTCTACACAAAAGTGTAAATCGACTTGAATAAACTTGCCAATGCGCTTTAATACGCGAATAAAATGCTGACGCATCAGAAGTCACAGCCACAGGTGCCTAAATGACGTGTAAAAGCTTCCTCTTCCACTACATTCCTTTCTGTTCTCTCTCTTTCTCTCTCTCTCTCTCTCTCCCCCCTTCCCCTTCTTCTATTCTCTTCACCTCCTCTTCCTCTATTTCCTACACAGATATTAAAATCAATACGGTATGCGTTTGACTGGTACACCGTATGCACCGCCATTACCGCATGCACCGGCCGCGTATGTACGACCCACCCCCACCTACGTTTGCCCCCACAATCATCCCACGCCATATACCCATCCTCCCTGTAATCCTTCTCCTCTACCTCCTCTTGCGGATGCACGCGAGAACTGCAGCTGCAGCTGTAGCGTCTTGCAACCGACATGGCTGGGATGAGGGGATGAGTCGAGGTGCGAACTGTTAAGGGAGAGATGAAGGGCTTGAGGAATTTGACGTTGAGTCAAGGGTAGCTTTAGAAAATGACGAAGGGCTTGACATAATAAATGATCTAATCGGTGTAATCTCGAGTGCTTCTATTTCAAGTTTTAAATACAAACTAAAGTATTTTGTATTTTTTAAATATATTTAAATTTATTTAGATTGCTCGTAAACTGTTTGTGATTTTGAATAAATTAAACCTTTAAATTGTTTGATTCTGAGAGACTTGAACGCGGAACGATTTCAGACATAAATAATTAAATGAAAAAATTAAAATTAAATTTGAACTTCTCGTACTTTTTATAAAACAGGTTTCATAAAATTTGTAGAATTTGAAAACATTAATATATCTAAATATTAATCTTATTTGATATATCTCGTTTTAGTCATAAAATTGAATTTTATTTTGCACAGAATTATTTTTAGAATATTAAAATCTTGAAGTTTTAAATTTTCAGATAATAAAATTTTTATTATATTATATTATACTTACATATATAAGTATACAATGTACACACACACACACACACACACACACACACACACACATATATATGTATATATATATATATATACACATAGTTTTCTTCTTTAAGTTATTGTAAAGTGTCATAAATTACATTATTAAATCTCGGAGATTTTAGATGCTTAAATCACTCAAGTCCTCTGAATCATAGAGTTCTTAGATACTACACATAAGTCTAGGTGTATTAAGGAGGGTATAAAGATGGGACATAATTTCATACCAAGTTAATCAGACGCTCAAGGAACCCTCGGGGAGACACGCAATGTCAAGGAAGGCTGACGAGGAGAGAGGGATGAAATCGCAACCCACGACATCAAATACTGGCCAAGACATGCCAATGTCATGTAACAGCTGCTGCTAATCGCCTGTTTAACTAAGCTAATTAGGAGATTAATTATTCAATTATGACATTAATTATATTTCGTATAATGTCATACATTTTACAAGCACATGTTTTTATATAAATAGCATACCAAGATATTCTTAAGGAGAAGAATTTGAAGAAAACTGACAAGGCATAGAAAACTCCATATTGATTATATCTCAAATTTATATATTAGGTGTTGGAATTAATTCGTAGCGTTTTTAATGAAAGAATGTTATTTATTTCACATGAGCATTAAAAAATACATTAATGAAAGTACTTCCCATCACTTGTAAAACGCTACGAATTAATTCCAACACCTAATATTTTTTATAACAAGTAAACTTTCTCGCCATAGATTGATTAGATTTTAAACGACTATGTCATTGATTAATTGTGGTTCTTTTCCTAGATCAGATAAAGCTTATGAAAGAGTTAGGAATTTTATCTGTCATAATTAATTATAGAGAATTTTATATAATTTTTTACAAGTCATGTATTAAATATCCTTGCGTTATTTTTTTTATAATACAACTGTCATTATATTCACATACATGTTTTCTCTCTCTCTCTCTCTCTCTCACATTTTTTATTTATTATAAAAATAAAAACTTTATGAAATGCTTTTTTACTACATTAAAAAATTCAAAATAATTCTTCTAAAAATTATAAATAATAATAATAATAGCAAAATTTCTTGGAATTGACATAATAGAAAAAAATGGACGGTTAACGATCTGGACAGTACAGTAGAAAAGGTTTAGGATATCGTATAAGTTCATGATGTTACGTGGATGTAGCTCGCTCGCGATGTGCATTTCGCTGACACCTCGTAAAACTGTAAACACGTTGCCGGCATTGGTTTTATCGCGCATTCGGACGGGATTCACGAGCCGCCATTTAGCCGGAATATTATTTCGTCAGGCCGCCAACCGGGGTGAGCGGACGAGTTTAAATTACTCGCGCGATCGTACGGTGCAATTAACGGAGAGGATTTATGTCGAAGTGAGTACTTCGAGGCGAAACGTTTTACGGTTGTTAACACAAAGAATTTGGCGAAGATTAAACGACGTAACATTTAAATGAGAGAAGCGGAAATAACTTTTTTTTTATAGACTGGGACTATTGCTGATTTTAATTCCCTGCGCTTTTTGAAATAAGTAGAACATATGTAACAAAATACATAAAAAAAGTCTAACTTTTCTCATAAAAAGAAGCATAAATACCGCTTTGAACAATTTTAATGATTCTAAAAATATATTTCAATAATTTATATCATTTCTTTTCGCTATTTACTTAATATTGAAATAGATTTGATACTATGAAACTAAAACATGGAATTATTTCAGAAATAGAAAGATGATATTTTTCTAGAATTAATTTTTATTTTAATCGGAATACAATATCTAAATTATACTATGGAGAAAAATGTTTGATTGAATTAACTGGAATTCTGGGATGGAAAATGAACGATTCAGAATTCTAGTTAATTCAGAACGATTCAGTATTCTATTAGATTTCTGGTTACATTTATTAGAATTCTAGATTTAATCACGAAATTCCAAATGTTGACTATTTCAATTGATTTAACCAGAAATCTAGCAAATTTAGCCAGAATTCTGGATCATTCATTTTCCATCAGAATCCCAATTAATTTAATCAAACATTTTTCTGCGTTATTATTATATTGATGGTTCAATGCTATATTACATCAATCTGTATTTTTCATTTCAGCATCGAGGTGGGGATCGATCTCCTGACTGAGTGCGTGGATCGTGCATGTCCGAAGTCAGCGATTCACAAGTAAGTTTTAACACAAATCGCAATATATAGATATATTTCTGTCTGTTTTCCACTGAGTAATAATTGCGCGTACAACTGCAACTCGCAATTAATCACGGCACGATCGCATAATCTAATACAGAAATTGCACGTGCGACGTATCGCGGTAATATACCGGCAATTGATTGCACGAAATAGAACACGCTCTAATTCGCGCGATTGTACATGCTAAGTTCGGTGTAAATTTAAACTCGTCAATGCGCAGCCAATTATAATTATTTGAACACCCATAATCACTTCGACTTACAATGAAATATTATCGTGCATCAATGTACTTTAAGCATAACAATAAAGGAATTGTATAAATTCCAATAAGTGAATACATAATTGTTGATAAGGTTTTTTTCTTCAATACATTGGCATTAGTTTAAATAACATTTAAACTTTTAGTTTGTTTAACATCGCATTGAAAAGTTAATCATTCAATTTAGTTACGATATAAAAATATCTGTCTTTTCCTTTCCATCGCGATTTTTCTTTTGCGTATATAATGAAATTCGATCAAGTCAATCGAGAAGCTAGCGTTAGTATAAAATGCGAGAGTGGGCCGACGAGGAAAGAATGAGATATAGTTTTGCACTGGTACCTTGTTAACTCGTGATTGCTGCTCGTCAATTTTAATTACATGCTTTTAACGATGATAGGATCTCAGAACGTTTCCTTGTGGAAAACTTCTATAGAAATATAGTACCATACAAATTATTTCAGAATTTGTGATTTCGCTGAATTTATAGAATTGACCATCATGTCAAACAGTTAATTAGTCTCGAGAAAAATGATAACGAATTAAAATTGCTAATTGAACAACACAATTGTAAATAATTGATGTTGCAATTATAAATACTTTTGCGATGAGATTGCAATATAATTATTAAATTACTCGACAATTTATTAAACGTAAATTTGTATAATCATTGAGTTTTCAGAATTTGTTTATCACAAATTATAAAGTTCATCAAATATACGGATGTGGCGGTGCCGATAGGAATATTAAAAGACTGCTTAAACGTGAAATGAATGAATATGTATATGCAGAGAATGTTTGAATTGGCAAAAAGTTGGTATATATATATATATATATATATATTTTTTTTAAAATAAATTAAAGTCGATTTTTGTTATTGAAAATATGAACAGACGTTATAAAAATAAATTCTGGATTATAAACTTCTGTGAAAAGATCGATTCTTTCGCAAATTAATGTGTTTTAGGAATCAAAGTCAGTAACAAAACGTTATTTGTTAATTGAAACGATATTTATTTTGTGGAATTTCCACTTCAAATTTTCATTATTAAAATGTTAAGTGCTACAAATTTGAGAAATTGTGGAAAATAATTTTTCTCTTTTTTATCAAGGAAAAAATGATTTCTAATATATATTCTCTCGATCGAAATTCTGAGACATTCTTTAATTACTTTCAGTTTTTTAACAACATTTCGACGCTTGTCAATCTCTTGGCGAATAACCGATTTCGGCATAATCATTCCAAATTGTCGTACGTGAGACTTGATATTGCGCGCGCTTCCGGAGCTATTCTCTCTTCTTGTACTTTTTCCGGTCCAGTATACAGTGATTTGTTGCAGTCAAATGCAATTGTCCCCACTTTTCTTCGATAATTGCAAAATCGGCTGAAACTTCGTAAAGCGAAATGATGAAGGTTATACACGGAAAAAATTGGACGTTTCTTCGGTTATTTAATCGTAATTCCGCAAAATTCAATTTTCAAAAATATCTGAAATTTTTTAAAAAGCCACGTTTCCATTATGTAATGTTTTCAAGTTTAATAATATATTATAGTTTGTATTGTACGATTTTTAATTATACATATATTAAGATCTATTTTTTATTCCTGCATTGCACATATAGAACTTTCGCCAAATTCCAAACACATCTACTTCAAATATATCTATTTCACTTTAGATCCAAAAGTATATAATTCAGCTACAGAAAACAAATCATTAGCTTCATAAAAAAATGACGATACAATTTATGAATCTGTGGTTAAACTAGTGTACACTTTTGGAACTTAAAGTGAGATAAATACATTGATATTTTGTTTGATATTTGGCAAAAATAAGAAAAAGAGTCTTTATTTTTTTATGAACAATCAATTTAAAATGCACACATCTTTGATTTATAACACCAATATTTTGTAACGTAGAGTCAGAAATCTCAAAGGTAGATATAACCATCAAGTTTCATGCACAATTACATGTCTAATTTGCCGCGTGGCTTAAAAAATAAGCTGGTTAAATTCACGTAGCGCCGTACCTAATTTCATACCGCAACGAGGAAACAAAAAAATGTGTTTGTTAATTGTACTCGTTAACACTCACCTGATTTATTAGGAGCAAATGATCGAGCGATCGCGAGTGCAGCGGCCAGAAGCGACCGCGTCGCGCGTTCCTGCGAGTGAACGAGCGAGTGAGCGGCATTTTATCGATCTGTGAGACCAGGAGATTTACGCGTACATGCCAGCCGTGCCTCCAACGAACATATGTCATGTTATTTACGAGCCGGGCATTACTCTCTGCCCGATTTACTATATTTTATGTTACGTGGATGGACTCGCGATTCTTTCGGATCGGACCGGACGCCGGTCACGTCGCGGAGGTGCGTGCTCGCGCTGCGGTGATCATCACCAATACTTAGTCTAATTGCGTTGCTTTTCACAAGTTGTTACTTAGATTGGCAACGCGACGGAATAACTGAAACATCCAATTTTTTTCAAAATAAAATTTTGATCATTCCCCTTTTATAGTTGATTGAGTTTGCAATTATCAAAGAAACGAGAGATAGTTGCGTTATAATTGAAGACAATATTTGGAATAAAGTTATATTTATTTTGTATGTTGAATTTGCGAAATTATTATAAATAAAAAAAGTCTTGAATTATATATGTTTTGCTAATTATAAATTAGACTCTGGCAAAGCTTTCAGTATCACGTTTGCAGTTGTCAAAGAAATGGGAGATAGTTGTGTTATAACTGAAGACAATATTTGGAATAAAGTTATATTTATTTTGTATGTTGAATTTGCGACATTATTATAAATGAAAAAAGTCTTGAATTATACATGTTTCGCTAATTATAAATTGGACTCTGGCAAAAAGCTTTCAGTATTACGTGATATATAAAATTATATGTATATATAGAATTGTATCTCACTGTTCCATGTGTGGGTGTAAGAATTAAAGACCATCCAAAATGAATTTAATGTTTATGTTTCTAGTTTTCGAAATTTGGAAGTCGTTTTCAGGCTGGCGAATATGCTTATTATTCGTGGATCGTTAAACGGAAAGTCTAGCAATTGTCGAATTTTAGAGCGACATAAGTTTCTTAGACTCGTAATCTAGAGATCTGCAAATGTTGAACTTCTCCCGCATTTACATGGCTTCTCACATTTGGAGAAGTGCCGAGATCTTTTGGTCGCAAAATATTATATATTACCTAATGTTTGTTTCCCTAAACTTCTAGCTTGTTGCTTCGTCGAGTTTCACAATTCTTCAATTGTCTTTTTTCAATTTAAGAATTAATTTTTTTATTTTCTATCTCTTTCAAACGCGTATGTCGATTTTCAAATTACATTTTTTCAGTCTCTCTCTCTCTCTCTCTCTCTCTCTCTCTCTCTGAGAGTTAAAATCTTAGTTTAAGAGTTATTGGGTACGTGTTGAAGCACGAAAAATGAATGCGTTCGGATCACTGATCGTGACACCTCTTTTGTATGGGAGCCATTAAGGATCGTTCGATCATGATCTCGATACTTTAAAATCGAAATGGGAATCTCGGGGTGCTTAATGGTAGCCATTTGGAGGTCAACCTCGTAGCGGGAATTTATGTCCTCATATTTCGGCGAAGGTGTCGCGTGGCGCGGTGCCTTTCGGTAACGTCACCGGTTGCCATTCAATCAGCTGACGCGCAATTCGGACGCTTGATCCTTCGCATTTTTACCCGTTTCGAAAGGTATAATGCATCGCTCGATCTTCACCGCAGAGAAAAGCTTCTTGAAGAATTCAAGGGATCGCCCATTTTTCGACATTCTAACATAATGTTCCTTTTAAGATACAAAATGGCTCTTTGTAATTTAAGTATTTACGATAAAAAGTTGTAACATTCATATTTTCATAATTTATTTAAATGAGTAAGACTATTTTTTTATTAACTATTTTATTATAACAAATTAAATTAAATCAAGTTTACGTACATGAAAAAACGATTGAAGTATCTAAAAATTTAGCTGAATATAGATCTGAAAATAATTTTGTTGAATCATCAAAATAAGTACGTAGAAGTTTCAAGCATGATATGCGGCGTTGCAAAAAATTGATATTCCACATTGAATATTTGAACATTCTAATAATTATTTATTTTGATAGTTCAACAAAATTATTTTTAGAACTGTCCAGCTAAATTTTTAATATTTCAATAAAACTATAATATCATTTCCATGTATATGATAATGTATATGATAATGAAAGAAATAATTTATTTTCCATTGTTCTTATTTAAACTAAATTTCTCTATATTATGTTTTAAATACCTTTCAGATATTTACAAAAGAAAACATAAAAAGAAAAAATACATTATCTTTTATATGATAAGTAAATTAATAAATTAATAAATGAATAAATCCATAAAAAATAAAGCATAAGATAGGAGCATCTTGTTATTAAAATCTTTCGCAAATATAGAGAAGATGAATTTATTTTTAAATTAAAACTTTCCTGACATTTTATCTTAAAAATTATGGGTTAAATTTATTTTCTCAAACTTTTATATTATTATTAAATATATTGATGACTTGAAATTTCTTAATTTCTTAAAATTTCAATGATTCCTTTATATAAATGTTTAAAATAACCTTTTAGGAGTAATCTTTATTTTAATGATACTAACGCTACAAGAATTTAAAGTTGATCTTTTCTCATTTTACATTAAGCGAATTCGACGAAGGTTTACAA